TTTTCTTATATGCAGTTCAGCTTCTGAAAAATGCAATCAACTTGAGGCAAAGAAACGCAAAATAACAAAATACAGAGAAGAAAAAAAGAGCAACGTTTACCTGTAAACGGCTATGAGTGTGTTGCATGACGGCAGATTGCTAAGGCAAGCGGAACAACACTCATCCACACCGATGAGGCATGCCACAGCAAGTGCGGCGATTTTAATAATATGAAAATATTCAAGTGAATACGTTTTAGTTGACTAGCTGATAACAAAGTTATGCTTGTGCTCACGTAAATGAGAATCCTCAAGATTTTGAACAACCAATATAGTTAACATGCCACATCCGAAAGTCAAATGTTCATAATATCCGTGATTTCATTTTTTTTCAATATTTCTGCAGTGGTTCCAATTTAAATCTTTGTTCTCTTTTCTAAACAAATTAGTTGGTCTATATTGTAAACTTGTTCAGAAAAAGTTCATATTCGCCTTAAGCTTACTCCAAAATTGATCACATAATAATCACGGCTGCAAACTCTTTATTTTTCTTGGGAGTTCGGCTTCCATTTTCATCTAGCTTCCTGGCGTTAAGTTTGGTACATGAACCTAATTGCCCACATACCTCAATACAGATTTTGTTTCAAAACTTGGTTTGTTCTTTATTTTTCAAATTTATATTTAACAAATCAATTTTGAATTTACAATTGCGCGCCATTTGACTGAAAATATTCCAATACGTACATATCTTCATATACAAAATGCGCGCTATATTTGATCTCTATCCAATATTGATATCTGACAAATTTGGTTTGATAAATGCAATGGCTGGGACCCAAGCTAATTATGCTTTGTAGCTGGGTCGGCCTTAAACGTTTTTTTTATGAAACCTTAAACGATTGCGAAAAAATGCAACTATTTTATTACAATAACTTATTAAGTAGAATTATAGAAATTATAAAGGCAGCGTTGTGAATAATAATTGTTTTTATTTTTTAACAAATTTATTCGATTGACTCATTCATTTAGCTAAAAGTGAGGCAATATAATCATTGTTATTATGAAGATCATGTATATTTTTTGATTGCTTACACACACAAAGCGTAAGGCCGAATGATGAGGGCGATAGTCCGGCAGGCGACGGCATGTAAATATTTTACATTATTTATCCCCAGGGCACAACGCACCTCCGTCCTTTTGCCCATTCGTCTGTCTGTCTGTGTGTGGCATTTAAAATGCAAGGGCAGCGCTTTATACAAACGACTGACCAGCTGACAGTCCGTTTTGGCCAAATGGACAGGCGCATGTTCAAATGCTTGGACAGCTGGCCAGAATGCGTGGCCAGCAAAAAGTGAGAAATGCAAATTTAAATTGTTGCTCAAAATGTGTTCTGTGCTCAACAGCTTGTGGTCAAATCAAATATGAATATTAATGTTAGGGTATGTGCGGCGGCTGGTTTATGGTTTATCCAACACAATGACAAACACTGAAAGGCAATTGCATAAACTTGAGTCAAACTGAATCTAATGTATTCAATTAGCTGCCAGAAATCGCTGGGCCTGCTGCCAAAATCAAAGCCCTTAAACCCCAAAACACAAACCGTAAGCCAAGTTAACAAAACAGCACAGGCTGGCAAACAATTCGGTTTTGGGCCACGGATCTGGACAAAGGGTGAGGCCTGTGGACCCGAAGGGAGGGGGTTGATTGTATTGGTGGTGTCTGTGAATAATTTTGGCATTATTGCCTGTGCTTAATTCAAATGAAATTAATTTCAGCAGGTAAACTTCGTGACGTGCCGCAGCAGCAGCAGCGGCTGCGGCAGCACGAGGCCAGCTCATTGTTCTTGGTGATTTAATGGCTGTGTGTGTGTGTGTTTGTGTGTGCGTGTGCTTGTATAGGGGTTGCTTGTGTGTGCCGTAAATGAATTCATCCCTTGGGCAACATTTTATGGCATAATTTGAGGCGTCCGGAAGTGAGGCCGCGCCAAAAGGTCAGTGCCTGTCTAATGTGGCATGCCTCGTGCCCATTTCTGTAGCACTTTGTTTGTCACACCCCCTCTCCCCCCCCCCCCTGCTCATCATCTTCCTTACCTTCTCACACTCATGTGGGTGTGAATATTAATGCTTCATATTTTATTTTCAGCGCTATTTTCGTGCTGTTTAGCTTTTAATATTGTGCCCTCGAATATATTTATATGTATATTTTAGTGTTGGGGGCGTCGCTTGTTGATTTTTGGGGCTGAGCTGACAGAACGCCCCGCAGCAATAGGCCAAAATTGCGTTTGGCCTCCCATAATTATTTCTGGCTGTGTGCTCTCAATGAAGTGCTGATACAGTGCTAAGCCTTTGCAGGCGAACAAAGACACACCACCCGGCCAGCCACGAACCCCTTGACCCCGAAACCTTTAAGCCGCGCCACAGCTCTGGGGTTTTTGCACCTCTCAAATGCTTAGGAGAGGCACGTTTTTAATATTCCATTCGAGTATTTGAATCTGCCTTTGTCTGCTGGGAAATGCCAGGGCGTATCTGTCTGTCTGTTTGTCTGTTTGTCTGTATTCCTGGCTGGCTGCCTGCTCGCCTGTCGCTGCGCCTGATTTGTAAGATATTTTGCTATTTTTTATTGCCACACAATTTCGGCTGTGCTGCGAATGCCGCGTCGTCTGGCTGTGGCAGCGACGGCGTCAGCGGCGGCTTTGCTCCTGCCATTGAGTGGATTAAAGTGTAAATATTTAATGCACGCGATTTGTGCGGCTTACGTTTGTCGGCCTGAGTTATTATTACGAGCATGTACAGAGCTACACACGATTCAAACAATTTTAAAGCACTCAGCTCAACTCTCAACTTTGTCTTAAAGCTGGCGCCAATCCTTTTTGCCGAATTGGCTCTGCTCAGCCACAATTCTTACACATCATCGCTTATTAGTAAGCCACAGAGTAAGCAATAAATAAAGTTGCCAAGTCTCATAACATGGCCAACAACAACGCCCAACAAGCTCCATCATTGTGTACCAAAAGACTCGTACATTGAAGTTCATAATGCTCTATTGCCTGATTGATAATGTGGCCAGCCAGTTCAATGGTTTGCAGCATATAAACGTTTTTATGCCAATGGCAAGAGTTGCAGCCAAAGTATCTGCTAGATACATGCATAAAGTATCTGCTGCATACACGAGCATTTTGTGCGCTTGTTGTTGCTTTAAGAGCTGCCCCATGCACAGCTTTGGCTGAGGTTTTTGTTTTATTTATGGAGCGATAGAGCGATATATGGCAGCTGCTGCTAGAAAATATTTAAGGAATTGTTGACTTGAATGGGCTCGCTTTCACATCAATAATTGAATGGATTTTTATTTACTTTTTCCTATGTACAGTTGGATTTTTTCATGATTTGTATGTTAATTATTTAACACTATATAATACGCATGCACTGCAGAAATTACAACAATTATTATTTGCAAAAAAAGTAAATAAATAAAAACTCCACAACCGAAATGAATAATGAACATCTCAAATAAACGCATTTATTTACACAAATGCACATTTTTTATTTGTAGAATGTTTTGCTCGCAAATTAATTTAATTAAAATATTAAAACTATTTGAATAGTGAAAGCGTGAACAATTATTTAACTTTTATTTAATAAAACTGTAAAATTTAAACCAGCGCGAAAACTGTTAAGCAATTCCATGCAGAGCTCAACTACAAATCAAGCCTATTACCCGATACTTCCCAGCCACGCCCACTGGCCATATGTGCACGCCCCTATACTAATTAAGTTGGAACGTGTGTTTAACGACAGCTAAATGAACTACCAAAAGCAGACAGGCACAACATAGAAAAGATAACGACACACTCATTATCATTCCGCACGCACACACACACACACACCCGCTGCCAGGACGAAGGTGGCTGCAGCAAGGACACATGGTTACACGTTTCCCACGCAAAGATTTTTGGGAACGCACAGATTGACTTAATGACAACGTAACGCCCCCCAAATGATTGGCTCCCGACTATATGACGATTGTGGGATAGCACGGGTGAGGGCAGGCGGGGGCAGAGCGTGCTGCGACAATTATAGAACCAGCCGAGATAATTTCAAACAGAAGCCGAAATTCGCCAACATTTTATGTGACTTTAAAGAGCACCCAAACAGGCTGGCAATCGTTTGCCCATGCACAAGTTAATAATCATCATAATCCCATGCTGTGTTTGTTCCATATAAAACTGAAGCGCGCACACACACACATACACGCCCAGTCACAAACCCTCAACTGAGCTGCAGACAATTCCTAGAATTTGTTGGCACACTTGGGCTTAAGTTCTGGCATTTAATGAGGCTCTCGAAACAATTATGTAATGTGTGCGTGTGTTATAGCTTCTGTGTGTGTGTGTGTGTGTGTGCTTCTGATATTATTAATATTTAGGACATTTCTTGCCTTAACCTAATAGTGTGTATTTAGTTTGACTATAATTCAATTTCAAATCCCAAAAAAAGATGAAAATAAGAAGTAAGGAGTGCTCTAGTTGCGAGTGACTAGAATATTTCCTTCATATACCGAAGATTTACGTCTTTTCTGGGGGAATGCAGTACCTGGATATTATACTCTTAGCTTAATGTCAAGTGCGGTGACACTAGGTCGTTCTAAGGTCATTCAAACATTGGAGTCTTCTTCATATACAAATACATTCTTGAGAATATAGTTTTATCCCGCGATCATATGGCAGAGCGAAAGGCTCTTTCAAACAAACCAATCAACTATCTATGCACAAACAAGCCAATCAACTATCTATGCTATGCTTGTCTCAAAATCGAAATTTATGAAAGTTTTAAATTTAAAGTAGTTTCCGATATCAACGCAGGCATATATAATTTATTGGGTTGGAGATTCTTCCTTCCGCCTGTTACATACAGTTGCAAAAAATGATTCTACTCGTAACTAGAATTTTGTATCTGGCTAAATGGCACCTAAAATTCGTGTTATGCATAATTTGAATTTAATAAAAGTTTTTGACTACTTGCCGTGTATAATATTCAACTCCAACGCATGTGTCTAAGCACACACAGTCATTGTTTGCCCAACTGACTGACTCAACACGACTCTGGTCACGAGTCATGTGGTCCTGCTCCTGCTGCTACTGCTGCTGCTGCTGCTCTGTCAACTGTGGCGCCTCCTAGTGTGATGGAGTGTGCATTGGACGGCGCTTTGGGGAGCGCGGCAGCTGGCTGTGGCTGGTTGATGCCACAAGTGTGTGTGCCTGTCTTGAATGTTAATATTTGCGCTTTCAATTCGCAGTCGCTTCGAGTGACAATTTATCATAGGGAGCTAGCTGTCTGCTACCCAAACAGACCTCCCCGCCCGGCCCACTCTCTCTTGCTCCATCTTATTGTTGCTTTAAAAGCGCATCGCTGGCCGTCTTTAAGCCACAATTTTGTGGCCAGAACGAGAAGAAGAAGTGTAATGCAATTTTAAATTGTCATGCCAGCTGCAATTATTTAAGACTTGTTCCAGGCACTTCCTGCCATTTGATATGAATTAAATCTGTAATTCTTATGAATTCCCAATGCTCTAACAAAAGGCAAAACACAATATACATTTGCCATTGTCCTCAGAGTGCAGCTGCTCGCTTAGCCGTGTGTGTCGCTATATACACATGCATTCATATATAGCACACTTAATGCTCTTATATCCTTTTGCTTTGTTGCCAACAATGTGAGAAATCCAAATCAAAAAATTTTCACTGTTGCAATGTTTTTTTTTCTCTTTTGTCTATTTGCACGAATATAACGCTTTATAAATTCTTGCAATTTTATTTAAAGTGCTTTAATGAAAATTTACTGAGCTTACAGAAATACTAAATATTGTATTCAACATGGAGCCTGGCACATGGTTTTTTTCTGTAACCAAATACTATTACAATTGTCGTCTTGCAAAATATTTTTCACTCACCTGTCAACATAACAATACATCAACAAATATGCAAAGCAGTATGTTCTTTTGCCATGGAACATTCTGACAAATGAATTATGAAAGTATATTCAAGCATGTGCCTTGCAGTATGCATACCCTATAACATAATTAAATGTGAATTCTAATTAAACTGATTTCAGTCAGTATACAGAAGTATACTTTAAATTATAAAGGGTATTTTTTATATATTTATATAAATTCTTACAAATTGACTGAAAAGTTTAAAATAAGTTCATGGCCATGTTTGTTATTGACATGCAGCAATATTTGCCTCAAATTGAATACAAAAACTTAACTGATGCTTACTTTATTGCTAACAGCTGTTGAAAGATTTTTGTAAAATTAAATATTCAAATAGGCCTTCTAGATGCGAAACCCTTGTAAAGTGTCCTTAAAGTTTGCACATGGATTAAGTTGGGATTTGTGTGCTTTTACAAACACCCAAAAACCTCAGGACCCTGTCTCTGTTTCGTGTTTTTATAAAGCATTTTGCCATCTTCTTCTCTTTTTTTTTCATGGTAAGAGAAGGGAACGGATCAGCAGTCGTTTAAGGTCTCTAAGCATTTGTGTATCTTTTAGGGTTTGTTATTGTTGGTTTTCCGGCTAACCGAGCAAATCGTTTGAGTTGGTCATGCAAAGTGCCAAAGTTTTTTCAACCAACCGCCCCAAAATAAAGGGAAGGGTTCAAATGGATGCTTGAGTGCAGACATATTAATAATGGACATAGTTTATAAAAAGTTTTCAGCCTTATTGTCTTTATTATATGTATAACCCAGAAAAACTTGGCTAGCTAGTTGAAACAGAACAAAGCAACAATTAGCTCTGGCTATTGGCAGCTTTGATAATTGATAATTCAGCTTAATTTAGCTTAGGTCAATTCCAGCATTCACCTGACCCACAATGGGATTATTTAACATTTCGGTATTGTGGCGACGACTTTAATCGAATCGAATTAAATGCCAAAAGACAAAGGCAAAGGCAAAAGCAGCTCGAACGGCAAAAAGGACGCAGAGTTTCAGGCACTAAGCTTGTAGGTGTGACTGGGCGATAGGGCCTGGTTCATTGTGCTGATGCTGGCAGACAGTCTATTGATGCAACAGCAGCTGCAATTGCGTCATTTTACAGCAATTCTCGCACACTCACACACACACACGCACACCCTACGTAGGGCCAGCGGCAGCGTCTTTCTATATGTGTGTTGATTTAATTTATGGTCGCTCTGCGTTGCGCTCTCCACCAGCTAGGCGAGCAGAGCAGGCTGTCCGCCATTTCAGATAAATGTGTCTGTGCCCCGACAATGGGTACATTGGCCACACACACTCATACACACATAGACAGATCCCGAGGCCCCAAACCGAACTCATGTTGCACTCTATGCGAAAACTTTGCGGTTACATGCTGACCACAGCTGACCGAACCGACAAGGTAAACTGCACTCCCGATGACGAAGTAGATAAGAATAATTTATGGTGATGCCGCTTGAATTGTGAGTGTATGTGTGCGTATGTGCGTATGTGTGTGCGTGTGCGTGTGTGCAACATGCGCAAATTAGACATGCAGACAAATTTATTGGCCTAACAAATCTTCATTTTTTCTTTTTTTTCATTCGATTTTTGTTTTTCATGTTTTACTTGTTATTATTGTCGCCCGTCTGTACATGTTGAGCTCTGTAAATATATTGTTTACAAATTACTCCAAGTTTAAGTTGACACTGAGAAATGAACTGCATGAGTATGTGTGTGTGGCTTTAAAAGCCAAATTAAGCGAGATGGAGATAAAAGACGCTGGAAAGTATGCAGTGAGAAATGCATGCGAATGAAATCCTATCGGAAAGTGCAAAAGAATGAAGTATAATAAATGCGGAACCATCGTTCTAAGTGGTAAAAAAGGAAAATAATATCGCAAAGTAGATTTTTAAATATATAGAAAATTCAAATACAATATATGTATTCCGCATATACTGCAGAATAAGTTAAGCGAAATCCGTTTTAGCATGTTTGTCACTCCTGTTTTGATTATTTCGCTTTATAATATGAGCTTAAGACTTTTCAGCTGATGTCAGCCATTTTTGACATTTCAATTTAAATGTCATGCCAAGTTATTGTTATTATTTTCCCATGCAACCCAACCCACCGCGCATAAATGTTTATGAAGCAGCCAGGCCCGTACCAACCCGCCCCAGTCCGCGACTCTTACTCAAGTTTATAGTTTTCAGCGTGTTCGCGCAGCGCTATGAAAATAATTTTAATGGCATTTAATTTACGCAAGTGCAACAGTTAAAAGCTTTTCACTTTTCACAATGCCAAATCTGATTATTTTGTGCTTTGTTTTGCATTTTGGCTTTCAGTGGAGGAGTGCGCACAAATTAGAATTGTTTTGTCAGCTGTTTTTAGCGAGTTTTGTAGCACAGTGCACAAGGTGCAAGCCGTATGATAAACGCCATTAGAGCAAAGTATCCCAAGTTGCAATCAAAGCAAAGCGAGTTAGTCACAAAAATATTAATGTGCGCCGTCGAAAAAACAAAAACCCAAAATTCAGGCCAATCCAACAAAGTACAAAGGACATGCTTGAGTAATGAGTGCCGGGTCCATAAACTGTGGCCAACAGCCCTACCGCAGACGTTGCCAACTTAGCAAAACATTTTCTCTACTCTATGCGGTTGGACTTCTGCACAATTGTAAAAGCTTTGAGCTGCTGCGATGGCAAACCAAATGAAAAACATTACAAATTTGCGGTTAACTAATATGGAGTGTGTGGCGCAAGGTGTGCGAGGCCTGACTGAAGTTTAGCTGCGAGGATTATGGCAAAAACTGTATTTAACTTGTTTGGCCTTAAGGCTTACTTAAAGTTTAACACATTATTTTACTGTTTTTAAATGCTGTGTAATGCATCCAACCATCCAATCTGTGCGTATGCAACTAAATAAATTTACTTGAGCGTAAATTGAAAACAAACAACGTGATCAAACATTAATGTATTCAAATGCCCTCACATATCAATTCAGCTGCTTCTGCTACTATTTTTTTATCCATTGCATTTGTCTAAACTGTAATTGAAAAGTGTTTGCTATAAAGCTGCTTTGATGGTATGCAAATTGTAAACGCTGCTCTGCATAGATGCAGGGCAAAACTAAATTCAAAACAGGAATGATATGTAGATATTGGAATCCAACACCACGAAGCCTTAATACACTTATGCACAGCCAGCAACGCTTTGGGTTATCACAGTTAATTAACATTTTTAGAATTCATTGGTTTAGAAGCAAGTGAACTTTTATCAGCAAAATGTCCGCACGGATATAAAATAAAATTCTGTCGAAATGTGAAGACTTTCCGCAAACCGTATGCATATCCGCAATGGTTTTGCATGCTCACAGATTTACCAATTATTTAATTTCTTTACAATTTTCTGATTTGCAACTTCGTCTTGCGACTGTTCCACATCATAAATCACTTGAGACGATTGTTTGGAAATTGCGATTGACGCAATTTCAATAGCCAAAAAGCGTACTAAGTCAGCATTTTACAAGCCAAATACCGAGAGCAATGGCGTATTATTGTAATCCGGCTAAAATTCAATCAAAACTCTGACATCTTTGCACGACGCCCGCGCAGCAGCCGCCAACTGTCGACGTTTTTGATGGCCAAAAAAAAATATAGACGACAATAGCATGGCCATGGAAATCGCAGCAATTATCTGCCGCGCGCCCACAGACAGAATCCAGAGATTCACACAGAGAAAGAGAGACAGATTGAGAGAGAGAGAGAGAGAGAGAGAGAGAGAGAGAGAGAGAGAGAGACATGCACACACCAAAAATGTAACAAAATTCAGGCCAAAAAAAAAACGCGCACAAAAAAAATAATATTTACTTTTGCCATGACAATGTCGTTCCCGTTGCCCCCCTCGCAGCCAACCAGCTCCATGCTCTGGAACTTTGATGGTGTTCGAGCTGTTCCAGATTATCAAGAGGGGGCGCAGAGGCTGGCGGGGAACACAAAAGTGCCTAACAGGCAGAGACGATCGAACAAGCGGCAAGTCGGCACGGCAGGCAAGGTGAAGAGAGGGGCGGCGGCGTTAGCGGGGTATTATTGGCTTCTGATTGGGGATTATGTTTTTAATTGACAAACTTGAATAGATAACGACGTTGTCAGCAGGAGAAAGTCGCATAAAAAGTGCCGACAAACGAATGCATAACAAGCAACTTGTTGTTGTTGTTGCCGTCCTTGTTCTTCTTTCTGTGCCTTGTCCTTGTAGTCCTTGTTTTTATTGTTGTTGTCGCTTTGGCATAAAATGGAAATTGATACGCAGCTGGAGGCGAATGGCATTTCACAAGTGTTGGTGTAAGCTAAAGCTTATTGCATCCGCAGACATCAGCCGGTAGCCCGCACCCCGCATACCCTGCATACCTCGACATTTGCCTTTGTGGCACTAAAACGTGGCTGGAAACAGGAAGCGAACTTAACGAGCTGACAGATTACAGGCAGAGATACAGTCGAGCTACCTATGATATTAATAACTGAGCAAAAGGCTCAGTTTATGCCTGGCTTAGATGCAACCGTAGTAAAACATTTACATGGATTATGCCCTTTACGGCTTAAATGTTAAAACAAAGCAGCTTTAGCTTATTAATAGAAATAACCAAATATGCAAATGGACAAGCTCAAGCTTTTACCATCGATATATTATTCTTTTAAGTTTGAATAAAAAAATAAAACTGCAAACTGATGAACTGGTGAGTGAAAGTTGATATAGGCTTCAACCCATAAAATCTTGTAGGTCCAATAATATCAAGTTAAAGATTGCAAGTCGAGCTTGAACCAAACTGGCTTGTAGACGAAAAACTCCGTTGCATAGAAATCTTTGCGTATAAATCGTGTCAAGGAAACATGTGAAATATTTATAAACCTTCATTTTAATATCGCCCATAATATTCATTCATTCTTCAATATATTTGCAATAAACTGCTCAAATTATTTGATTTACAAGCAAATATTTGGGTCATTAAGCATACGCCTGGTGTACCTGATAATTACATAATAAACAAAAGGTGACCGTCCAATGTACAAAACACTTAACACCCCGCCCCATTACGATTATGCACATACAACACATCCGTGCACTCGAGCTCAGCACACACAACAACAAGAACAACAATACACTGTGCAACAAAACTTGTCAGCAAATTAAACCAGCAAACAAAACAAATGCGTAAACATTACAACAATGCGAACAATAATTTCGAAAACGGAAATTTGCGAGCAACAAATTTGTGCA